TCACAAAGGGTAACATGGCAACCTTCTATATTCAGACGGAGTAATTTCATCCGCTTTCTACGGTACTTTTTGAAGGGCGTTGGCACAAAGCATCATTCCACTGCCGTACTGGCTGGCATCCATTTGTCGAACCTATCAAAATTAGACCCCAAGTTGTCACGACCTGCATGATCGAACCAAAACTTTCTCAAATGAGACATTTTACACTGGTGCAGGTACCACTGTCCCCGTTCTTATATATCACGAAATCAATACGAATGTGGGAATGCAAGTGAAACTTGTTGAATTCTTAATCTCGGAACTCAGTTGAGGTGAGGGCTTACATTCATGATCCATCCGATTTACCTCCAGCGAGGGAGCCCCCAGTATCCACTGGCCAGGACGACAGATTGGCTCCAGTGTCGATCTGGACGGGGTGACGAAGGGGAAAGTCAATATCTCTGCCGAGAGTAGAACCACGGTCAGTCGTTCGGCCAGGAGCTACAGATTTGCTGATTCTAGTCCACATCTTCACGCCCAATATCTCCAATACTCGATTTCATATCATCCTTCCATCTCGGTCAGAGTCGCCACAAGTACCTTCCTTTCAGGTCGAACTCCCCATTAAACTTTCATTTTATGCGTGTTAAGAACACGTCAAATCATACATACATACATTTGGAAGATACTAACCAACGTCAGACCTTCATCGCCGTTATAGTCTGCAGGCAAACTGTGTCAGCAACTGCAATTACCGTGGTCCAGTGTCCCACATCAACTGATTTAATCTGAACTTTCTTTGCGTCCAAACTCGACGGAACTACACTCTACAATGTGAAAACATCACAAACCTTGCTGCAAATAAAAGAAAAGCCGGTCATAATGTTATGAGCTCTTTAACCAATAAGAAAATCGGTCTTTCTGGTTCCATCAGGAAGTCAAAATTGGTTGTCCTCCACAAGGGAGGCCCTTCTCTTTAAAGGGAAGACAGATAAACAGCCTTCAAGCTGAAAAGCACCTGCTCCTTCAACGCAGATGCCTCTCCGTGGCTGCAACAAGAAGCAGCTACGCAATTAATTCACAGTTCCTGTGCTGCATTTATAACACGTGAAGCAATGAGAAGGTAGTGTCTGTCTGTCTGTCTGTCAGTCTGCACGTTTCAAATCTGGACCTACCAAAGAGATTCCGAGAATTTCATTGAGACCCTTATCGGTTCAATACAGCCCGTAAGCGTAAGACTACCTTCCCTGAATTTCAAATTGATTTTCAAGAATTTTCCAAAAAAAGAATCAACCGTACAAAAAATTGACAGTGAAACCATGGTTCCGGAGAATCTGAAGTAAATACGTCTTTGTATTTAAACTACCATCATCAGACACTTTTAGATTCAGTGTCTTCCATACATAGTATGACGTAAATATGCAAACCCAGCAGTAGCGTGAAGTGCGATGCGCCTTTATTTGTATAAATAAATGTTTGTAGAACCTAAACCATTTGTGATATGTAAAATCTGAAAACAGATATGGAAAGCTCAAGATGTAATACGTATTTCGTACGCAATATGTCCAGATCCATCTCTTACGGTTTTCGAGAGGCGGGCGCTTAACGCGCCAGATGCATTGAAAATTGTACGCATTGGTTCATTAAAATTACAATAAATGTATAAACAATTATAATTACAACAAAATACATTACAGATTATTAAAGGTCCTTATTTACCGATCATTTTACATATAGGTTACATTACACTTACTCTTACCATTCCTGAGGAATGAACGTTTAAAGGTGACTCGGCGCTGGATCTTCGTAAACTACAAGGAGCAAAGACCTTTTTGAGAAAATAACATTCGCCCAGCTAATAAAGACATACCCCGTCTTTTACGGAACCAGAATTTTCACTGCCGTGTTCATAACAGCCCACTATTGAAACTGACCCTAAGCCAGCTGAATCCACTTCACATACCTGTGATACATATTTAAGATGGTTAAAATAATAATAATAATTTGAATAAAAATTTGCTTGGATATTATCCATCGTCTAGTAAATATAAAACGTAAAACGTTTCGGAGATGGGACTCCGTCTTCAGGTTCCTACACAGTTGGGCCCACTAGATAGAGCTAATCCCTATATCCGGAGATATAATTATATGCAGCCTATGGATAAATTCATAAACGACTCCGTCGTTCCAAACTACACCAGACGAAGCAGTCATGGCCACTGGCACAATGGGAGGTTTTACCAGCGTGGAAACGAAATGTGTATTTTCAATATCCGTGGATTACTTATTCTTCGTTCCCGGGAATTATGATGGGAAAGTCGGTAACGGGGAGTTATTTAATTGCAACCACAACTATTGTTTCCTCGCTAGGTCAGCCATCTGCATGCAAGCGGTGAAGAACACATGTCCACATGTCGGTGATTAATACAACAATGTAAAAAATGTGAGAAGAAATACAAGGCCAACCGCACAGTTCCTTTTCTTAAAAAGAGTGTTCCAATCTTCAATGTAACGACTGAAAATAAAGGTCGAGTAACAAGAAAATTACATAATAATGTGATAAAACAAATTACTGTTTTTCATTCTTCTGCCAGAATTTGACACATAAGATTTCAAGGACACAGCACGGGCATGACGTAAGCAGAAAAACACTGCCCCTGTCGTTAAAAATAACAAATCCTTCTAGAAAGAACAAGATTGGAAAGGTGTATTGCGTCCCAGAATACACACATGCGTTCTTTGCAAATTATGAATTGTTAATAAAATATTAGGTCAGTTATCTTATTTAGACAGCTTTAGTTTCAAACCACGCAAATCTCGCGGTCTTAAAGTACCGCAAATCGTCAAAAAATACGTCATGAGGCGCTTTAGCTCTGTGGTTGCATAAAGACTCGTACGTACGGGGTCACAGGATCAAATCCTGTTAAGTCAATTTTGTTCTTTCATGTAGCTGGCATGTAGTCCTTTTACGTTACACAAATAATTATTACACAAAAGTTTTGTATTTTCCGAAAATATATAACCACACACCACTGTATAGCCCTACTGCAAGTGGCGCTAGTGTCGATTCCATCTCACAAGTTTGTTCGTCCGCCATGCTGGTATTACCTGTTGTATCAAATTTGAAAAGTACGACTTTAGGGTAGTCCCCAATGGCATAACGTCCATACCAAATTTCATCCAAATTCAGCCCCATATGCGTTCATTTCATGCACATCGTGCAGAGAACGCATAAAACTACATTTAGCTACTTGCACAATTAACACCCCATGTTACTCCGCAGCCAACTACAGCACGACCCAAAAGACGGACGCTGCGTATTCTTTCGGTCCCTTATTAGAACGTAGATTCGCATGTTGGCAAAACTGTTCGAGGATTTTCGTGACTTTCTTCAACCCTGCTGGAATAGAACTTTAAAATTAGTCACGACTGTAATCTACCGATTCCTTCCAGTCATATCTGTCCTGTAACTTGACGCGGCAATCTTTAAAGTTCAGAGTGGATTGTAAATAGTCATATTTGTCGAATTTGGGATTGTAGTCCACTCGACGAATATCTAGATCTAGAACTGTACCTGGGCATCACTTTACGAAAGCGCTGGGATGAGTAAAGAGAAAATGAAAGGTTAGTAATCAGTTTCACGTTCCGACCACTTTATATCGGATGGAAGCGGCCGAGAATAAATGCAGAACCACCAAAACAGATCATAGCAGACAAGCCGAGGGACAAAAGATGGCTGGATAGATAGCACGAAACCATAACAGGTCACATGGCAAAATAACTATGACGAATTCATCACCTGCACTGTGTGTTGTTCGTATTATTCACTTGATTTGTCAGTACCTCTGCACTAAATGATCACCAGGGCGCAAATGTGGTGGGGAAAATAACAAGAATGCAAATGAAAAATATGTACAATCTAAACTGGGACCTCCTCACCTCCAAATTTGTTGTCAATTTTGCTGCAGTCTGCATTTCCAGTATGAGATTCCTACACAAAAATATGATGTAACAAAAGTGTTTGCCATTTCTCCTACGCCTACATTGTTTCTCGTATGCAGTGTTATGAATGTTTTCACAGTGTTTGATACAAGTCAACATTAACTGTTTGGTGAGAATACAAGAATCATGCTCCCAGCATCGTTACACATACTCACAATGACGGTTTCAGTACGTGCCAGCAGGAAAGAGAACTTTTGTATCACAACAGCACAACAGTTCTGTTAGAAAAACTGTCAACCCATCGGTAAAACAACGAATCCAACTTCCACCAAAATGCACGACATGTGGCACTAATACGAAATCATCTAACAACAGACGCTGACAAATCACCACGCACAATCGTACCAACACTCGGTGGGCGACCTAAGTACAGCCTTTAGCTCGCTCATCTGTGGCTACTGCGACCAGTGAGGCATAGTTCTTCTCACCAGGTTCAGCTGCTCTCCTGTCGCCAGACCGAGCCTCCGACCTTGTCCCGCCAAACATCTGCCCCCAGCTACAGCATGCGGCTTTCAGAATGGGATCGAATTCAGCATCGGCCCTACTTTTCACGGCGTACCAAACAACCCGAAGAAAATTATAAGTACAAGAACCACTAACGTACACTTTCCAACACAATCAAAAATAATTAACAAAACCTACTTTTCAATAAACTTTCTGCATTGGTAGGCCGACTTGCTAAGGTCTAGAAGACATCAAAAGAGAAAATAAAAACGACAGGCGACACGCGATATCATGACGCCGAAGCAATAAAACTGCTAGTCTGTAAAAATTTCGGCGAATGAAATGATCAATAGGACTTCAAGATATTATACAATTTGCACGGCATTCATATTTCGTTGTTCAGTACCCTCATTACTGGGCATTCCTCCGCCGAAACGTAATGTCTACAACCGAAACCAAGAACGTTCCGAGTACATTCACAAGACCGCCATTCCTTTGTTTCTCCACAACACAAACTCATTTTATTTTGGACTACCGTGTACCTGATTACATGTTATCTCTCACTTCCGGAGACAAAGACCCCTACCATTGCAACCAGTCGACTGCACCTTTCGTTTATTCTTTTTATGACGCATCTTCAAAAATCTTCCCAAAATAATGTGACTTCCTACTCTCCCACCCAAGCATTCCCCAGACCACAGGGCCTTGACTCGAACAGAAGGCAGACATTCACTGCTCACAGACGTTACTGATGACTCATACCAGTTAAATGGGATTAAGATGATCTGCTGCCTCATCATGGAACAATAATACCAACACCGACATCTATTTCACTCCCATTACGAGCAGTTTCATTCTGCTCGGACAACTGTGCCACTGCCCTCATTTTGGCACCTGTCATGTCCTATATTAAGTGGTGGGTCAAGACTGGCGTACCCAATAGCCTAATGACTCTTATTCTCACAAATTACTCAGCAACTTCTCCCAGTTTCGCGCGAATATCGCCTATTTGTAATGTAACCTTCCTTAGCTTCAGTCGTGTTCTTTATCATCAACCGGTAGTGGAAATGAACTTGTAAAGACGATCGGCAAGAGAGACAAAATAAAGAAAATATCCCAGGTCACGTAATTAGAGAAAATGGCTTTACAAATTTCTATTTTGGCTGATACAAAACCAAAATAACTAACGTAGTCCTTGCACGTGCAAAGAATGACAGAAAACAGATGGCCCAAGCAAATGTTCGAGTGGAGGAAGAGGAAACAGGGAGTTAGGAAGGGAATTCAGGATGCAATGCCAGAGTGGACTGGCAGTGGGTGGACAGAACCGGAAGACGTCAATGACGTTAATAAACAGATACATACACACATTTTCTCTCTCTCTTGCCTTTCTTTCTTTCTTTTTTCTCTGTGTTGTATCTATATTAACAGCACATACCCCACTTTAATAACAAATGAATGACAATAAATGTTAACTCACTTGCACCAGTACTTGGACCTTTGAACTTGAAGATGCATTCATTTCAGTTGAACCTGAAAATGATTAAAAGTGCCAGGTATAATTACTTAGTACAAGTGGGGATAGTCAGTTATAAAAACAGATAACATTTTATGTGAGCTTTGTGTAGAGAAAGAATGAACAGAAACAAATCAAAATTATGTAAGATTTGAGGTTTTCACAGCGGTGAGTATGAAGATTTCTGTCTTTTGGGTTGTTGCGCTGTGGTCGATGTTTACCAACGTTTCAGAGGTCTTACTGCCTCCGTCATCAGGGCGATGAATATGCCAATAGGGTGGGTGGGGCAGCAAGACCTCTGAAGCGTTGGTAAACATCGACCACAGCGCAACAACTCAGAAGACAGAAATCTTCAAATCAAAATTAAATTCGCCTGAAAACTTTTCTTGTATGAGTACATTCCCAACACCAAATCACATCTAAATCTGTTTGGCAGTATAGGGATTAAATGTGCAGATGCATTTTAATTATTCAAAACGCTTACCTGCAATTTCCAAATTCAATGAGAACGATTAATACATTTTTCTCCTGAAGATTTTTGAGGTCTATACAAAGTTGATGTACTGCCTTTCTGTCAGTCCATTTATGACAAGGCTTACATTTAGTTAAAAATTTAATAAAACATTCATAAGATATGAACAATATTTGCTCTGTATAAGAGAAATAAATTACTTCTTATCTAAAGGGTCATGACATTAAGGTTATCACTGCAATGTCAAATTAAAACTGTTAACAGACTACTACACACTACATTCTTTATGACTAAAAATGCTGCTATTCACTTTAATTCACAAAAATATCATCATCCACAATTTTTGCACACTGAAACAGTGAAAGTAGATACTTTGTCTCTCAACAGATTGACACAACTCACACATTTCTTTCATATTAACTATAAGGTAATTAAATACACATTAATAAAAATAAATCATATTCTTAGGAGATTAAATCAACTGTACCAAAATTAATGATTTTATTGTGATAAGTTTTTATATTAACCAAAATGAGTCATGGATGGAACCGAACCAACAAAATCAAATGTCCAAAAAGACCAACAAAAATTAAATCAAAATCAAGAAATTATTTTGTTTAATATTTCTTTACTTTCAGTTTATTTTTATTTAATGTGGACGTGATGGGTGAGGCCATCACAGTGGCCGCGTAGTCTGAGGCGTGGACCTTGAGCCGCTTGGTCACTGGGACCGTGGGTTCGAATCCCACTCAAGGCATGGTTGTTTGTCCGCATCTTTCTGTGTTGTGCAGTCCTGTGTACAGGTAAAGGCCTTGCGACAGGCTGATCACTCATCCAAGGAGTCCTACCAACTGTCTAATAGATCAAAGCCAACAAAAATTTTGGATCCGCAGATGCTGAAGGCACTGAAGAACAGGTCGCCTAAGTATCCTAAGTAAGTGATGAGCGAGGCATACAGTGTGCATGAAGAAGATGAGAAATGTGTAGAAAATTTTGGTTGGAAAGACTGAAGTGAAAAGACCACTCACAATACTTAGTTGTAAAAAGTGGATTTCTTCCTGCTTGACTACAGCAGCTGCATAGAAGATAGGCTGGGCCTCAACCCACCATTCCTCCACAGCCAGTGAAGGTAAGTTCCATTATCCTGCTTGTACTTATCACATACCATATACCAATTTTTTTCATCATGAAGAGGAAGTTAATTAACAAATCTTTGATTTTCTGCACTATAATACTGATTATTCTGAGGACTCACCTCTCCACATAAGGAAAACTAGGCCTCATCAGGAAAAAAAAAAATTATGGATCAACTTCTCCATAATGTATGTAGTAAAGAAACCAGTTGCAAAAATTTATTCTACCAACCAGATCATATTCCTTCAAAGCATTAATTATGATTGTCTTACATGGTCACAGTTTTAACAAATTTGTAGACCTTCATGCAGATGTCACTGAAAAACCTGTCTCCTGCGCTAGTCATTAAAGAGATTATCTTCGGTGGGAGTTTCAAGTCTAGTACCAGTGGTGTCCAATGTTTCTGCTGTCAGCAAAGTCTGCTTTCTACTTGGCTTTTTGTCTAGCAATGTTACTTACAAGATAGTGTACATATTGTGTATGTGGATCTTGTTCTCCAGCAAATTTGAGTGGAAAATTTCTGTGACTATCCCTGATAAACTCATATTTGATACAGCTGTACCAAGCTCACATTCTGAAGCAGGCAAATGCAATGATTTGGGCAGAAAAATACTATCACTGACTGCTAGTGCTGCAGCTTAGAGAAACAGGCCTTATAATGGAGGATACCCTAATAATAGAAGCAGCAAGCACCTCTGACACAACAGCAATTTTCTACCAGCCTACATGATAAAACAATCTAGAAAACAGCCATCTTCATACACACCACCATGAGAACCTCAAAGCCCACATAATATATATTACAACAAATTGCATTAAACAAACCTAACTTTATTACTGTAATTTCAGTATTAACCAAAATTCTGGATACAATTAACCAAACTACATATGTCAAGCCTGAAAACCAATATTACTGACCATGAAACAAGATGCGAATAATGGTGTTTTTGTGTTCATAGTTCTTAAACATAACAGTTAACATATGTTTTCAGATCATAGTTTTTTTAAGAATTAGTAGAAATAGATGTTGCACCAACTGCAATATTAAACTGCTCCCTACTTATAAATACTGTGCAATTAATTATGGAGACGATGTAACCTTACAGATCAGTAACTCATCCAAATTCTGTGACAAGTTATGGGACATTTGACAGTTTAGAATGTGTGTTGTCCTGTAACTTCATGATCTAAATAACACAAGCAGCCACAGGTTAGAGCGGATTGTAAAGAATCAATTATTTGTTTGCCTTGAATAATCTTTCATGATTCTACTCAACTGGGTGGCGTTCTATGCCTCTGAAAATTATATCAACTAATTGTGTTACGGTATTGCAGTTACCACCCCATTACGATAACCGGCACAACAAATTCGTCAAGTTCCGATAACCACATACAACTTCACAAGTATAGAAAAATATAGCATGTGTACTTACTATTTGGGTATTTGCATATGGCCAATATGTATAAATAAATTTCTTCTTTCACATAAAAGCCATCATCCCAACAAACCTATTTAACACGCCATTTAACGAGGATGAAACATATACAAAAAAACCTCCTAACACAAGGAACTGACCACAACTGCTCTGGTCTAGATCGAATAGCCACAAGTCGATAGCAGTAGTGATATTTTATCTCTGGAGTGCAGCACTGAAAGTTGAGCGCTACTGTGTAACGGAAGAGTGTTGAACTATGACTCGTTTATGAGAGATCTGTTTGTACTCGTGCGGTTCATGTCTCATTTTAATAAATTTTGAAACTGCGAAATTTAGTTTAGTTTGTTAGCACATTACAAGTTTTGTTAAA